GCACCAGAAATGGGCTTCACGAGGGAACACTTTAACCACTGGGGCACCCCACCGGCCCTTACGCAGGTTGCAATATGCGCAGGTGGTGGACACTCTCGGTCTCCCACTTCTGGGACTGTCAGATGTCTGGTACATCATTTTAGTTTCTAAACCAGCCTACCAGTTATTACTCTATTTCTCTTACCTCAAGTCAAGTCAAACTCCACCTACCATACTGATCAATATAAAAAAGTAGGCACCATTTATTCAAACATACATCAGCACTCATACCATACGAAACCACTTTACCATACTTTCCAAGGAAGGGTAAAAGAATGGGAAATTAGAATTTACAGTTGATTACGATATTAACCAACACTGAAATCAAGATTCTCTCTTCTGTAGTGGCCAACATTTGTGGCTTTGTGTTTCTGTCATGTTTTCCTTTTGTAATGTGTGTTCAAATACTAGTAACTAAGTCTTTTTTATCACTTTTGTACAGGTGTTGTTGGAACCTCTGGAGATCTCTGGCGCGAGCAAAGACGCTTCGCCCTCAACACTCTCAGGGAGTTTGGATCAGGCAGGAATATCATGGAGGACAAAATACACGAGGAAATCACACAGTTTACTGAGGCCTTCGAGGCAGAACGAGGGCAAGGGTTTGACTGCAAACGCCTGGTGCACAACGCAGTATCCAATGTCATCTGCTCCATTGTATTCGGCAAACGGTTTGAATATACTGACCCGCTTTTTATTACATTTTTAAAAGCCATGGACGAAATTTTGGCCAATGTTGTCACGGCTGGAGTGTTGAATGTGCTGCCTATTGTGCGCTTTCTGCCAGGAGATCTATTCAAATTTAAGAACACAATGCAGAATGTCGAGAAAATCGAATCACTGCTCATAGACCCTATGACAGAGGAACACGTGAAGAATCACGACGATGACAACGTGGACGACTTCATCCACGCCTACATCAAGGAAATGAGACTTCGCAAAGAGAAACAAGAGGACACGACCTTAGACTGTAAGCATACTGAACCAAGTTAAGTAGTTGTACAGAACCGATTTGATAACTCCCTTTTGCCTTTTGTTTCGCCCTTTGGGTGAGAAACAGAAAATATGTAGTTCGTGTGTTGAGGATGATATCTTTTAGAACTGCGTGGTGATATGAGTTCAATAATACCACTGCGTGTCTGCATATAGTGGAAGAAAGGCGAAAATGATGCATTTCACCAACCCGTCCAAAGTCGCGATCCCTGTGTTAATCACTGTATACATGTACAAGAAAGGAGAACATCACTTCACATAGATCAACAAACCCTATTTGATCCAACCTTCGATATAGCTTAAATACTGCGGATGTGACTTTAAATTTGAACTCACTCATTTACTGATTCAGCCTTTGGGTTTTTCAATAAGATGGAATTGACACAGTAGCAAACTCTGAGGGTATATATCTGTCCATGAATAGAAGAGAGAAGAAAGCGTCTCAGTGACCTTACTTTCGTATGCACATGCATTTAATTGTGCATTTGAACATTGATTGCGCTGTGAATCCATAATCTTGCATTAGGGCCTTCTCTTTCCTAATTACAGTTCATATGTCAAATGTAGTAAGTTTAGTTTCATTGCAGTTTAATTTACACAGTGTTTTCGAATCATTTTATTTCAACAAAATGCTTCCCTTGTACCTTGTTTCAGCGGAAAACCTGAAAAAGATTATAACAGACCTCTTTGTGGCCGGATCGGAAACCACGGCTACTACCATACGATGGACCATGATCTACTTTCTCCTAAATCCGGAAATACAGGAAAGGTGTTTCCGAGAGATCCAGGAACATATCGGCCAGAGTAGGCGTCCCTCAATGAAGGACAAGATCAACCTGCCCTACGTGGAAGCAACCATTATGGAAGTCTTGAGACGAGCTGATATCGCCCCTACAGCTCTCCCTCACACCGTTCCCCACGATGTCCAGTTCAGGGGTTTCACCTTCCCAAAAGGTGTCCAAGTCATACCGATGCTTGATTCAGTCCTACAAGACCCGGATGTGTGGGGTGATCCAGACAACTTCCGGCCTGACCGTTTCCTTGACGACAATGGCAAGATCGTAAAGAAGGATGAGTTCATTCCCTTCTCTCTGGGTAAGTTAAGTCGCTGGAGAACCAACAATATAAGGCCAATCTTTATAAACGTATTCAACATTGTAGTGTTTTTACAAACGATTACAAACGGCTGTATTTTAAATTTGATAGTTCAACCTGTCGAGTAAGGGAACTGCCAAATATATGACATATCAGTAATTTGTTAATCTAAATATATATCTATTTGGAACTGTAATCAATGTTGGCCTAATACATACACATATCACCAAATGTCATTCCTGTTTCAAAGAATTATACATTATTTTAGCTGTCTTTACAAATTTTCAAATAAACATGCACTCTCGAGTAAAAGGAACTGCACCAATATTATATTTACTAAAGATATGGACCCGTGAAGATCCGGGTTAAATTTGATCTTCAGTAACCAATGTTTGTCGTAAGAGGCGACTAACAGGATCGCTGACTTGGTTGACACATGTCATCGGTTCCAAATTGCGTAGATCGATGCTCATTGATCACTGGATTGTCTGTTCCAGACTCGATTAGTTACAGACCGCCGCCATATAGCTGGAATATTGCTGAATGCGGCGTAAACTAAACTCACTCACTGCTAAAGATATTGATACGCATAAGGCTTGTATTTTCTTGACAAAATACACGTAGGCTATTTACAACCGAAGATTTGAAATATTTCAGGTCGAAGGGTTTGTCTGGGTGAGGCCATGGCTCGGATGGAGGTATTCCTTTTCTTGACCACCATGATCCAGAGGTTCAAGTTCATTCCGGTGGATGGCCAGATGCCTTCTTTGGATGGAATCATGGGCATAACCCATTCTCCAAGACCATTCGTCATGAAAGCCATTCCCAGAGTTTAATCACTCAATGCGAGTGAGCGGGTAGTGTTAAGGCAGCATTGAGCAACTATCCAGCTAGGTATTGCCTGTTTTTAACAAAACATGATCCCAACACATACTGTAATCCAGAGAGAAAGAAAGTTTTTGTCATGTGATGTCACTGGAAGCCCAAGGACTTCACACTCAGGCCTCTATGTCCGCCGTCCGTCGTATAAGGTTACACAACACCAAATGTTTCCAATAGACTTCTATAGTAACCTTATATATTTTTTTTAAATTATCCAGGCTATCAAGAGCCATTCCATGTACACATGGGTAGTCGGGCCTTTAAACTACAATAAAACACTATTTCTGGCCAAATTGTCCGGCTCATTGTCCGAGCACAGGAAGCGAAACACATCAACTCCAGTTCCGCACCAAATGTCACCTACTGGAAAATATCTGTACACACAATAATCATAAGTCATGGTGATATAAATGACAGCACTAAATACTTAAAAATGTGGTCAGTTTTAAATACTGGATAGATGTGCTTTTTAAAAACATAAACATCTTACACTACTTCATCCAATCACAGCTGTCACATGTCTCTGTCCCTTCAGTTGTTTACATACGGTACTCGCTCAGGGAGCATGTGATTCTGATTTAGTGTAGTGGAACCTATAGATCGTCTTAAAGAAACCAGATGACTAATGAAACTGGAAGTTGCCACACTTGTTTCCACCACTGATGATACTTCTCTTTCCACAAGATCGAATCTGATATTGGGCATAGCCGCCTCAGCAGTTAACAATGTGAAAACAATATTTATGGCCGCTGCTAGTTACTCTTGCATGATCTCGAAATCCATTATTGTTTGTGCTAACATCTCTGCAGTGGCGAATGGGGATACAGTGATTGTGCTGACGACGACACCATGTTTCTTATGTATATCATTTTGATTTTACTGTGTCTTTTGTGATCCAATCAAAAAATGCTGTGCTGTTGGAATCATGTTTTCCTTAGACAGTTCATGAGGCCCATGATTTGTATGAAGTAAGTGGATCGTTTACTGCAAAATCACTAGGATCCAGTCGTTAACAGTGAGTATAGAGCAAATCAGTTTTATCCGATTCACAAACTCACAAGAATGTTGAAAGTTCTATTAACAAGCAAACGTAAATGATAAATTACACCAACTGTAACACGGAAAAACAACCAAAGTTGGGTAATACTTGGGACACCTGCTTTTGAGAATGTAAAGGACGCATTAAAATGCTGAATCACGTTTGGCAGAAGAGGGATGCAACATACATCATGTTTGGGATTACACTTTCTCAGTAAAGTACAGAGTCTAGTATATTTCGGGTATTAGATCCATCCGGGATTCGAACTCACACTCTCGTAGTAAGGCACTTAATCCCCAGCACGCAAAGTCAGCGATATAACCCACTCAGCCAGCGCAAAAATTGGCAGCCTGACAACTGCTAGTCCAGCTTACGTACTTTGTTTACCACTCTGACAAGTGTAAATTGGCCCGACTCCCATTGCCGAAGCTATTTCAGATGGATACCCAAAGTGCTTTACAGTACTTTATCATGTTCAGTCTGCTGTGTCACTCAGCATGCAGTTGCATAATGCAACTCTTAACACCCACACGTTCAGTTTGACGTACGTACCACACGGAAATTCGTCAAAGGGCCGGAATGCTGGAACACAACTCTCAAACGACGTTTTCATTGGGGTGGGATTGGATGGCTAGAGCAGCACACCAAAAATATATATATTAATAGACGTAAACTGAACAGGAATACATGTACTTCGATCGGGTTGACACAATATCACATTACATTAACAATTGTCTAAAAACACGAACAAGGTGTTTTGTATTCGTTCACCCAGAGATCCCAGAAAGAAGTTTCAGAAAACGTTTAAATTCGACCATAGCGGACGTAAATGACATCACTTTCACAGCTGATTTGTAATAAGTGAGCCTGCTTAGCCCCTGAAACAGTTTGCAGGTTTATCTAAATACATGTACCTCTACCAATACGAAAGGGAAAACCAGGCTTGGATTGCTCAATATATGGGACACCCGCCTTTGATAGTTGCTTGTCAACTCAATCGGAGGTGACCCACATACTGCCCTTAGCAAAACTGCAGTGTCGCGTTCACTCCAAGTCACGCTCTTGGGCTGATTCAATCTAGCGACTGAATTACTGCATGTAGTTGCATCAGGCAGTGTATTATAGTGTACACTTATAAACACATCGTGGGTCGAGAAGTGGACAGTAGCAGACAATGGTGGATATATTCGCCTTCAGTCCTACAACTGTGTTGTTGTGTGTGGCCGTGCTAGTTTTGTTATGGCTGCTAACGCGGCGTCCCTCTGGGCTCCCTCCCGGCCCCCCTCTCCTTCCGTTTGTGGGGAATGTCCTCTCCATGGGCTCCGATCCCCGGATCACGTTTAAAAGACTCAGGCAACAATATGGCGACATCTTCAGTGTGTACCTGTTCAACAAACCACTCATCGTCCTCAACGGCTACAGCACTCTGAGAGAAGCCATTGTCAAGAACGCCGACGTATTTTCTGAGAGGCCTCACACCACACTAAACGACTTCATTGCAAGAGGAAAAGGTAGGTGTCGTGATTTCGTACAGTACAATATGAACTTATCGCTCTATATGATCTTCACCTGTGTTCCAAATCACATCCCCCACATGTATTTTCCAACAGCGTTATCAGTACGTGCGTTGCCCCATATCAAATTCCAACCTGTGTTGCCTCTGAAATCTGCAAGTGAGTTACCATACATTGGATTCTCACCTGTGTTGCTTCAAACATCTGCAGGTGAGTTGCCATACATTCGATTCCCACCTGTGTTGCCTCAAAAGTCTGCAGGTGAGTTGCCTTACTTTGGATTTCCACCTGTGTTGCTTCAATCATCTGCAGGTGAGTTGCAATACATTGGATTTCCACCTGTGTTGTTTCAATTATCTGCAAGTGTGTTGCCATACATTGGCTATCTACCTGTGCAACTTCAATCATCTGCAGGTGAGTTGCCATACATTGGATTCCCACCTGTGTTGCTTCAAACATCTGCAGGTGAGTTGCCATACATTGGATTCACCTGTGTTGCTTCAAACATCTGTAGGTGAGTTGCCATACATTGGATTCCAACCTGTGTTGCTTCAAACATCTGCAGGTGAGTTGCAATACATTGGATTCCCAACCATGATGCTTCCAACATCTGCAGGTGAGTTACCATTCATTGGATTTTCCCCTGTGTTGCGTCAACATCTGTAAGTGAGTTGCCATACATTGGATTCCCACCTGTGTTTGCTTCAAACATCTGTAGGTGAGTTGCAATACATTGGATTCCCACCTGTGTTGCTTCAAACATCTGCAGGTTAGTTACCTTACTTTGCATTCCCACCTGTGTAGCGTCAATCATCTGTAGGTGAGTTGCCGTACATTGGATTTCCACCTGTGTTGCGTCAGACATCTGTAGGTGAGTTGCCATACTTTGGATTCCCACCTGTGTTGCGTCAAACATCTGCAGGTGATTTGCAATACAATGGATTCCCACCTGTGTTGCTTCAAACATCTGTAGGTGAGTTGCCATACATTGGATTCCCACCTGTGTTGCGTCAAACATCTGTAGGTGAGTTGCCATACATTAGGTTCCCACCTGTGTAACTTCAATTATCTGCAAGTGTGTTGCCATACATTGGCTATCTACCTGTGTTGCTTCAAACATCCCGTAGGTGAGTTGCCATACATTGGATTCCCACCTGTGTTGCGTCAAACATCTGTAGGTGAGTTGCCATACATTGGATTTCCACCTGTGTTGCGTCAAACATCTGTAGGTGAGTTGCCATACTTTGGATTTCCACCTGTGTTTCTTCAAACATCTGCAGGTGAGTTGCCATCCATTGGATTCCCACCTGTGTAGCGTCAAACATCTGTAGGTGAGTTGCCATACATTGGATTCCCACCTGTGCTGCGTCAAACATCTGTAGGTGAGTTGCCATCCATTGGATTCCCACCTGTGTTGCTTCAAACATCTGTAGGTGAGTTGCCATCCATTGGATTCCCACCTGTGCTGCGTCAAACATCTGTAGGTGAGTTGCCATCCATTGGATTCCCACCTGTGCTGCGTCAAACATCTGTAGGTGAGTTGCCATCCATTGGATTCCCACCTGTGTAGTGTCAAACATCTGTAGGTGAGTTGCCATACATTGAATTCCTACCTGTGTTGCTTCATACAGGGGATCAGCACCTTCCTTGCCCCACATCATATACCCACCTGTGTTGGTTTTCACCACATCAACGTTGTTCCATATTACATTCTCACCTGTGTTCACATTTTCACCTGTTGTTCAACACATCACATCAACTGTGCGTTGCCCCATATTAATTTTCCACCGTTGTTAGGCAACAGAATGTTCCCATACTTGCCAAAGAAGACGGTCATGAATATTTTGAAAACTGCCTTGATTGTCACTTACAAGAACAATGCTGTGTATGTGTTGCCGAAACACCACAGATATCATAACTAAATGCAACGTTGTCAGCGCCTCACGTTCCTCCCCAACGATTCAGTCGACGTTGACGTGTTCATCACATCCTGGATGCCCATATCATGCAGTCGTCTCATCACTGTGATCCTGCTGATGCGGTGTTGTTGCTGATGACGTCACTGATTACGCAGATTGGATGAGTGAGTGACTGAATGTAGTTTTACGCCGCTTTTAGCAATATTCCGGAAATATATCACGGCGGGGGACACCAGAAATGGGCTTTAACGCTTTAACCACAAGGCTACCCGACCGCCCCATAGGTTGGAAAATGCGCAGGTGATGGTCATGTTGCTGGGTGGTCACTCCACTTCTGGGACTATCAGGTGTCTGGCCGGTCCGATTGACGTGTCTCATTAGTCGACGTTGGTCTGCCTTCTTATACATCTGAACGTTCTGGCATTATGGCTGTTCGAAGCCCCGTTATGCGACATTCCAAAGACGCCTTCTTGATCCGCTGGGCGGTGGGGTAGCCTAGTGGTTAAAGCGTTGGCTCGTCACGCCGAAGGCCCGGGTTCGATTCCCCACATGGGCACAATGTGTTAAGCCCATTTCTGGTGTCCCCCGCCGTGATATTGCTGGAATATTGCTAAAAGCGCGTAAAACTAAACTCAGTCAGTCAGTCAGTCTTGATCCGCTTTTTGCTTTTTAATGGGTATACCTCCAGTGTGCGAAATAGTTTCCACATTTTGCTAGCGAGTCAGGCTAGATATGCCTGAAAGTTACTAGCCCACAAAATAATTCACTAACCCGAAATTTGAATGTAGAAGCTAAACAAAAGATTACAAAAATAGACGAGATATTGTCGGCAATATCATCATTATTCATCATTAAGTTGTTAATATGATGAACATTTTATCAGGCCAGGGGTGGAATTAACTTTAAAATTGTTCGTGAACTCCGGTACAGTGGCACATGTAAAATCACTTGCCCTGATAATTTTTCCACTATACTGGCCGATTTTCTTGTTTATTTTTTAGATAAACAACATAATTAACATTGGAAAGTCAACTTGGCACCGGTACAGTGTGATATACAAATCTGCTTCCCCGACAGAAAAAAAACACTGGACTGGGGCGTCGGGCAATGGATTATTTCCATCTCTGCAGGCCATAATCTTGCATGATTTAAAAGTGTATTATAACTTAACAAGTCGGAGAGAGAGATATATTTACAAAATAACCCCATGAAAATTCACTAGCCAGTCGGGCCAGTGACTGTGGAGATTTACTGGCTCGACTGGAATTTTACTAGCCATGGGCTAGCGGGCCAGTGGCTATTTCGCACACTGTATACCACTAACACTCACAGTCGAATGTGTTCCATACTTGAATATGACATGCACGTGCCATTCAACAGAATCGCCATTTTAATGATTTTAGACGCACATCAGTGTATAGGATGTATGTGTTGTTTTAGCAACACGTACAAACTGATTGCGACTTGTTAGCCACAATCAGAACACTTTTCAAAAGACTTACTCTGTGTGTGTTTTTGTTTTGATAATTCCCACACATCCATTCTTTTCCCACAAAGTTTATTTGTCATATCTTCCCACGCACCTCTGTTCTAATACGGCCCTTTCATGGTGCGAGTGTTCAAGATTCGTGATTGGTTGCAATCAGATTTAGTTGTGCAATCAGCGACGTTGTTTCAAAAGTGATCATTCGCAAGGGCTCGGTAACTTCCGTATGCTTCGGGAAAACTAGAACCTCTTCCCCTGCCCGATGCGCAAATGTTTTTTCTAGACAGAACTCAGTCATGTAATGACAGATCAATGGCGTCTCCATTGCCCTCGCTGACAACGGACAGCTTGCCATTTAATATCTTGTGTGTCACGTCAACACAAGTCCCCGACAGAGAAGAGGGATATTTGTGGCCCCATTGTTACTTGCATTAGTCAAGTTGTCGATGTAACACGTGTTCTGATTGGACAGAAAAAGGGGGAAGCCTCTGTGGGAAGAGAATGCCAGACACCAGGTGTATACTTTTTTGGTTTGAGGCGCAAACGCGTCATTCTATGCCTAAGGTAAAACAATTAAGCCTAACCCTAATACTAACCCTAATCTAAACCTAACCCTAAACACCCGAAATAATCCAAATAAATTGAACATATTTCAAGCGGGGGTTACGGGACGAACTCTTACCCGTGAGCGCTATGTATCTTACAAGAAATGTCATTAACTGAAAATGAGAGTACCGTATTTGCGATGCGAGTACCGAACTCTAATTGACGGAGGCGTGGTCATCGTGGTGCTCTTGAAATCAGCTTCACAACCCAAATCATCTCACGTTCGTCTCACTAAATTTCTAAATTTACTCACGTGCCTCCGATGCTTTTCTAGTTTTGTACATAAGTTTAGTTTCTTACTGAATTCCCCTCACTTCAAGTCAAGCTGAAATGCACCTCGTATACTGATTTATATATATACGCAGGCACCATTAAATCAAACATGCATCAGCATTCATACCACAAGAAACCACTTTACCATACTTTCTCAAAAGGAAGAAGTTATCCCATTTGCGTAGGTCGCTGCTCATGATGTTGATCACTGGATTGCCTGGTCCAGACACGATTATTTACACACCATCGCCAGCTGGAATATTGCTGAGTGCGGCGTAAAACAACAAACCAACTAACTTAAAACTATGAGCGTACTTTCAAATTGTTTGGTAAAAGAATGAGAAATTAGAATTTACAGTTGATTACGATATTAACATTCATATATTCTTGAAAAACGGACTCTCTCTTTTGTGGTAGCCAACCTTTGTGGTTTTATGTTTATGTCATGATTTCCATTTGCAACATGTGTTCAAATAAGTCAATTTTATCATCTTTGTATACAGGTGTTGCTGGAACATCTGGAGAACTCTGGCGCGAACAAAGACGATTCGCCCTCAATACCCTCAGGGAGTTTGGAGCAGGCAGGAATATCATGGAGGACAAAATACACGAGGAAATCTCACAGTTTATCGAGGCCTTCGAGGCAGAACGAGGGCAAGGGTTTGACTGCAAACGCCTGGTGCACAACGCAGTATCCAATGTCATCTGCTCTACTGTATTCGGCAAACGGTTTGAATATACTGACCCGCTTTTTATTACATTTTTAAAAGCCATGGAACAAAATTTTGCCAATGTTGGCGCGGCTGGAGTGTTGAATGTGCTGCCTATTGTGCGCTTTCTGCCAGGAGATCTATTCAAATTTAAGGTGACAATGCAGAATGTCGAGAAAATTGAATCACTGCTCCTTGACCCAATGATAGAGGAACACTTGAAGAATCATGACGATGACAATGTGGACGACTTCATCCACGCCTACATCAAGGAAATGAGACTTCGCAAAGAGAAACAAGAAGATACGACCTTAGACTGTAAGCATACCGAACTTATCTTAAGCAGTTGTACGTAGCAGATTTGATAACTCCCTTTTGCCTTCGTTTGGCCATTGGAAAACAAAACAGTATATACGCCGTTCGTGTGTAAATGGTAAGTGAGTGAGTGTGTATGGTTTTACGCCGCTTTTAGCAATATTCCAGCAACACCAGGGCAGGGGACACCAGAAATGGTCTTCACACAGTGTAAATGGTGATGTGTTTAGGCGGGGAGTGTAATTGGTAGGGCCAAAATGGCGCACTTCATCAACCCCACGCCCATCCCCCAATAGTAGATTCTTGTGCAACGAAGGGAAATGACACTTCACATAGATTAACGAACCATTATTTCATATTGCCCTTGATTCTGGCTCAATGGGATGAAATAGAAAATATTCCTGGTGTCTTCTGTTGGTGGGTAAGTGAGCGAGTTTTTTGCCGCTTTTAGCAATATTTCAGCAATATCACATCGGAGGACATCAGAAATGGGCTTCACACACTGTACATACGTTGGGAATCGGTCCCTGTGATTAGCGAACGCTTCAACCAACAGGGTTCCCCACTACCCGGATGAAAGTTAGGTTATACATCAGTCCGGGGAGAAATCAGTCTCTTTGCCTTCTTATTTGCGTACATATAGTTGTACTCTGATTGCCCTGTGAGTCTATAATCTTGCATAAGGGGCCTTCTCTCTCCTAATCAAAATATATATTTCCAATGTTTTATGTTTCATTGCAGTTTAATATTACACAGTGTTTACGAATCATTATATCTCATACGAAGTATTAATGAAGATTCCCTTGTACCTTGTTTCAGTGGAGAACCTGCAAAGGGTTATAGCAGACCTCTTCGTGGCCGGAACGGAAACCACGGCTACTACCATACGATGGACCACGATCTACTTACTCCACTATCCGGAAATACAGGAAAGGTGTTTCCGAGAGATCCAGGACAATATCGGCCAGAGTAGACGCCCCTCAATGAAGGACAAAACCAAGCTGCCCTACGTGGAGGCAACCATTATGGAAGTGTTGAGACGAGCTGATATTGCTCCTGTAGCTCTCCCACACGCCGTTCCCCACGATGTCAAGTTCAGGGGATACACCTTCCCAAAAGGCGTACAAGTCATAGCGATGCTTGATTCAGTCCTACAAGACCCGGATGTGTGGGGTGACCCAGACAACTTCCGGCCTGACCGTTTCCTTGACGACAATGGCAAGGTTGTAAAGAAAGATGAGTTCATTCCCTTCTCTCTAGGTGAGTTTAGTCGCTGGAAAAACAGCAACGAATGACATATCTCTATACAAATTAAACCTTACATACTTTCAAGTGGGAGATTTAAACCTAAATGTTTGAAATATTTCAGGTCGAAGAGTTTGTCTGGGCGAGTCCATGGCCCGGATGGAGTTGTTCCTCTTCCTGACCACCATGATCCAGAGGTTCAAGTTTGTCCCGGTGGATGGTCAGATGCCTTCTTTGGATGGAATCATGGGTTTATCGTATTCTCCAAGACCATTCGTCATGAAAGCAATTCCCCGACTTTAATTACTTTATGTGAGTGAACGAGGGAGTTGATAGAGTAAAGGAGAAAAGAGAAAGGGCGAGAAGAAACTGGAGAGTTTGTTTGAGTGAGTGAGCATCCTTTCCGTGTTACAAAGAGGTGTTGTTCTATACTTCATAACCTTGACCTTTACATACACAGGGCCAGGCATCGGCGGCATTTCAGAATACCTAATCAGTTGCTTCCGTAGCCAAGACAGGGTAAACCGGTTATTGTTTGGGGATAACAGTTGATAACCACCAGAGTCAGCCATGTTTTGTCCATAACAGACTGGATCACATGTCCAGAACTCACAACCGGGTAAACCGGTTATTGTTTGGGGATAACAGTTGATAATCACCAGAGTCAGCCATGTTTTGTCCATAACACACTGGATCACATGTCCAGAACTCACAACCGGGTAAACCGGTTATTGTTTGGGGATAACAGTTGATAACCACCAGAGTCAGCCATGTTTTGTCCATAACACATCGGATCACATGTCCAGAACTCACAACCAGGTAAACGGGTTATTGTTTGGGGATAACAATTGATAACCACCAGAGTCAGCCATGTTTTGTCCATAACACATTGGATCACATGTCCAGAACTCACAACCGGGTAAACGGGTTATTGTTTGGGGATAACAGTTGATAACCACCAGAGTCAGCCATGTTTTGTCCATAACACACCGGATCACATGTCCAGAACTCACAACCGGGTAAACCGGTTATTGTTTGGGGATAACAGTTGATAACCACCTTAGTCAGCCATGTTTTGTCCATAACACACTGGATCACATGTCCAGAACTCACAACCGGGTAAACGGGTTATTGTTTGGGGATAACAGTTGATAACCACCAGAGTCAGCCATGTTTTGTCCATAACGCACTGGATCACATGTCCAGAACTCACAACCGGGTAAACCGGTTATTGTTTGGGGATAACAGTTGATAACCACCAGAGTCAGCCATGTTTTGTCCATAACACACTGGATCACATGTCCAGAACTCACAACCGGGTAAACCGGTTATTGTTTGGGGATAACAGTTTATAACCACCAGAGTCAGCCATGTTTCGTCCTCAACACACCGGATCACATGTCCAGAACTCCCAACCGGGTAAACGGGTTATTGTTTGGGGATAACAGTTGATAACCACCAGAGTCAGCCATGTTTCGTCCTCAACACACTGGATCACATGTCCAGAACTCACAACCGGGTAAACCGGTTATTGTTTGGGGATAACAGTTGATAACCACCAGAGTCAGCCATGTTTTGCCCATAACACACCGGATCACATGTCCAGAACTCACAACCAGGTAAACGGGTTATTGTTTGGGGATAACAGTTGATAACCACAAGAGTCAGCCATGTTTTGTCCATAACACACCGGATCACATGTCCAGAACTCACAACCGGGTAAACCGGTTATTGTTTGGGGATAACAGTTGATAACCACCAGAGTCAGCCATGTTTTGCCCATAACACACCGGATCACATGTCCAGAACTCACAACCGGGTAAACCGGTTATTGTTTGGGGATAACAGTTGATAACACCAGAGTCAGCCATGTTTTGTCCATAACACACTGGATCACATGTCCAGAACTCACAACCGGGTAAACGGGTTTTTGTTTGGGGATAACAGTTGATAACCACCAGAGTCAGCCATGTTTTGTCCATAACACACTGGATCACATGTCCAGAACTCACAACCGGGTAAACCGGTTATTGTTTGGGGATAACAGTTGATAACCACCAGAGTCAGCCATGTTTTGTCCATAACACACCTGATCACATGTCCAGAACTCACAACCGGGTAAACCGGTTATTGTTTTTGGGGATAACAGTTAATAACCACCAGAGTCAGCCATGCTTTGTCCATAACACACCGGATCACATGTCCAGAACTCACAACCAGGTAAACGGGTTATTGTTTGGGGATAACAGTTGATAACCACCAGAGTCAGCCATGTTTTGCCCATAACACACCGGATCACATGTCCAGAACTCACAACCGGGTAAACGGGTTATTGTTTGGGGATAACAGTTGATAACCACAAGAGTCAGCCATGTTTTGTCCATAACACACCGGATCACATGTCCAGAACTCACAACCGGGTAAACCGGTTATTGTTTGGGGATAACAGTTGATAACCACCAGAGTCAGCCATGTTTTGTCCATAACACACCGGATCACATGTCCAGAACTCACAACCGGGTAAACCGGTTATTGTTTGGGGATAACAGTTGATAACCACCAGAGTCAGCCATGTTTTGTCCAAAACACACTGGATCACATGTCCAGAACTCACAACCGGGTAAACCGGTTATTGTTTGGGGATAACAGTTGATAACCACCAGAGTCAGCCATGTTTTGCCCATAACACACCGGATCACATGTCCAGAACTCACAACCGGGTAAACCGGTTATTGTTTTTTGGGGGATAACAGTTAATAACCACCAGAGTCAGCCATGCTTTGTCCATAACACACTGGATCACATGTCCAGAACTCACAACCGGGTAAACCGGTTATTGTTTGGGGATAACAGTTGATAACCACCAGAGTCAGCCATGTTTTGTCCATAACACACCTGATCACATGTCCAGAACTCACAACCGGGTAAACCGGTTATTGTTTCGGGATAACAGTTGATAACCACCAGAGTCAGCCATGTTTTGTCCATAACACATCGGATCACATGTCCAGAACTCACAACCGGGTAAACCGGTTATTGTTTTGGGGGATAACAGTTAATAACCACCAGAGTCAGCCATGCTTTGTTCATAACACACTGGATCACATGTCCAAAACTTACACACGACCGGTTTTAGGTCATCGTGTCCCGATAAAGTCGGTTGTTGCTCTTGCTCTTAGTCACTGAGTGGCGCTTATGTTAAGGAGGCGTTAATTAACAGTATTTCCTCTCATCAATGATATATGTGTGTGTATATGACGATGAATTTTGTCGCATGTTTCTCCCCAATATGGGTAGTGTCTGCTTAATATTTCTCTGGAAGAGCGCATAATGTATGCCTTTCCATGCTTTTCAAGAGACCCCGAGAGGATTCAGATTACAACTGATCTTCAGCAAAGTATGCTTGTTGTAAACGGCAACTAACGGAAATGGATGGTCAAGCTCGCTGATTTGGTTGATGCATGTCATCGCATCCAAGTTGCGTATATAGCATCAATCACTGGATTGTCGAGTTCAGATTCGATCTTTCACAGAGTGCGGCGTAAAACAACAAGCAAACAAGCAAAGCCTCTCAAGAGACATCATTGTGTGTTTTGTGAACAGACCTCTGATATGAGCATATCATGACATGTGTAGTATGGTGATTTACTTTTAGTTGTTGGTGATCTATAGGCCATTTTTATGTTGTAATGTCCTGAATATGTAAAACCTTTTACCACAGGTAAAACCTATGACTGATAATATATTTTTTTATATATTGATATGTTTTGTCATTTTTGGATGATTCATTGAATAAAGATTATCGTACAAGCAGCAAGTTGATGTGACTGTGTGCGTCACAGACTTTGCACAATTCATTCATTTTCTTCTTCTTAAAATGCAATATATCAGAATAAATATACCAGCGTTATTGTTATTGTGATGGTAGTTAAGTGTTGTTCAGAAAGCAATGAAGGCATATCAATATAAAGTGGCATTCATCTTCACCCTTTGAGTGAGTTTAGTTTTACGCCGCTTTAGTAAATATTCCAGCAATAACACGACGGGGAACATTAGAAATGGGCTTCACTCGGGTGTTCGGCATGACGAGCGAGCGCTTTAACTGCGAGACTACCCCACCGCCCCTCCACCCTTTTTTCAGTCGATTAAATCTAGCAATACCATCGTCTTCCCACATCCATCATTTTTGTCAGTTTTCATCTTCACATAATAGTCACAAACGTGTGTTATATTCACTAACCGTGAATTTTCATGAATTATACTCAACTACTGAAAGTAATTACAGTTTTGACCTTTGAATGTCAGTCGTGTTGATCACAATCTTTGGATGTTCGTACACACTTACATTGTATTTAGCAACTATTTACGGGATCCATACAAAACCATACTCATTAGTGCACAAAAAAATACATATATAAAGCCAGTGTGTTAGCCAAGAAATAAATCTGCCCAACATATTCATCGGTACTATCATCTTTTAGCCTGACTCTAAAACCTGTCGCAAATATTAATCATAATCCTTGATACTGTCAAGGAAGGACTTTTTCTATATTCACAGAGAGTTGTGCTGGGAACTGACCTAGTTCAGTTCTGTCAAAACATTTAAACACTTTCCCACATGACAACATATATATGTACCTCCAGAGGCTCAGGACAGTGTGTCAAAAATGAAAGCAAATGTCATTGGAAGTTTACTGAGAAAACAATATGTGAAATACTGGACTTCCTCATTGATAACATCAACGTAAGATTTGGGGTAAAACATTTACACAAGAATTAGGCACCCATAATCACCAATTGGCCCCTCCTCTGCGGGGACCGCCTCCGTGGTGTAGTGGTTAGAGCGTCCGCCCGGAGAGCGGAAGGTCGCGGGTTCGATCCCCGACCGCGTCATACCAAAAGACGTTAAAGTATGGTACGTGTTGGTCCCTGCTTGGCGCTCGGCATTAATGGGTACAACGAGGACTGGTCGGCTCGGAGTCAGTATAATGTGTCTCCGAGCCGACCAGTCCTCGTTGTACCCAATTTTATTCATGCTTCACTGCGGCATGGTGTCTCAGTGGGCTAGCACTATAAAGCCAGCTTATGTCTGGGCTAGTACAAGCAGCCGCACATACACACACGCATGCACGTCGTCATATGAGAGAAATATTCTCAAGCACGACGTTAAACCCAATGTCACCTCACCTCACCCTTCACACCCCTTTATTCATGCTTCACTGCGGCATGGTATCTCAGTGGGCTAGCACTATAAAACCACCTTAAGTCTGGGCTAGTACAAGCAGCCGCACATACACATGCACACGCATGCACGTCGTCATATGAGCGAAATATTCTCAAACACATTTTTCTGTAGGCATATGAATCGGAATTATTTGTAATAAGGTAAACTGGCCAAGAAGGTCAATTTAAGCTTCAGGTATATCGATGATTTAATACCGTTCAATAACCATTAAATAATCAGTCCCGTCTAATTCACCCACATGAACTTTTATTAAATAATTGCCACAAGAGACAGCTTCATGTACTCCAGCCTTTGGTTTTTACATTTCACAACTTTTGAGGAACAACCGAGCTTGATGTTGAACCAAGTGTCACGTGGCACCGTCA